GGTCGAGGAAGGGGAATGGAAGGGAGAGGAAAGGGAGAGGAAGGGGAGGGGAAGGGGAGAAGCAGAGGAGAAGGAGTGGAATGGGGAAGAGTACAAACAGTGAAGGAAATGAGGGCGAGGGAACGGGGCGATGAGGGAGACATCAAGTTCTGCGTAATCACCGATATGTCTTCCATGTTGAAGAGAGCTTGTGTCAATAAAGACTGAGGGGCCATGTTCCCACCTATGTAGATACATTTCAGCATCAGCACGGCAAATGGCAGGGGGTCAGACAAGCAGCAGTGTTGGGCACTTCCTTCACTGCCATGAGCTCCTGCTGCTCGCTCTCCCGACTGACGCTGTTTCTGTCGCTGAAAGCATCACCATCCTGCATGCATAGCCCACAGCTCGTCCGCGTTGCTACCTGGCAAGAGCAGCGTCCAGGATCGCCAGGCACTTCTCGACTGCGAGCTCCAGGCGTCAGCTCGTGCCCCCCGCCCTCGGGGCTGCCTCGGTCGAAACTCACTAGAGGACGAAGTCCGGTCGAGGTCGAGGACGCGGAGGTGAACAGAGTCAGAATACAACTTCCAGCTCAGCTCGAAGTCTTCAAGCTTTAGAGGAAAAGTCAGCAAGTCTGCTTCGAGAGCTACTCCGTTCCCTCCCTTCCTTCTCTCCCTCCCTCCCTTCCTTCTCTTCCTCCCTCCCCTCTCTCCTCCCTCCCTTCATCTCTCTTCTCATACCTTCTTGGTGTTGCTCGTGCCTTGCAGCGTCCTGGCGCATCGTCATGTCAAAGGGCAGGCAGCAAGGATAGTGTAACGACCTTGTCGACTGAGAAGTCTCGAGCCCCGCGAGGAAGTTGGGGAAATTCTCCTGCTGCAGACGAGACACCATCATCACCTTGGGTTACAAACAAGCATCGGAATACTTGAGAACTCTGTGTTGTCGCATCTGACAACAAGACTCAGCAACACTAGCAGGCGCTCCTCTCCTCGGCACCTTTGCGAGGAGGGAATGCTGTCATGCTTGCTGTGCTGTCTCTCATACTGGCTGAGGAAGAGCACCCCTCAGTAGTCCTCGTTATGGTACAAGTACACCTCACCTTGCTCCCGCGCCCTCTCCTGCTCTCTGCTAGCAGCTTGCAGCAACTGAACCTCCTCCTTGTACGCGATCACTGGACAAACAACACACAGTCAACACGAACGTGTCCTGCCAGCGAAATGATTGCTTTACTTCTCTCCTCCGCGTCAACTTTCTCCCGCTCGGCACGCTCGCCGGCCTCGACTAACGTCTTCCTTTCAGCCTTGAGCTGTTTGACCTGAGACTCCTGAGGAAGACAAGGGAATTTCTTGCATGTTAGAACTGTCGGGTAAGAGGGATGAAAGTACAGGAGGAGGAGGAGGAGGAGGAGGAGGAGAGAGGAGGAGGAGGAAGAGGAGAGAGGAGGATGAGGAGGAGGAGGAGAGAGGAGGAATTTCAGTACCAGCTCAAACTTGACATCCTCCAATTCTCTGTGCATTGGCAAACGAGTAAGCCGTGGGAATGCGACGACAGTTGACAACCTGATGGAATTGCCGTAGAGCTCGAGCTTCCTGTCCTTCATGGCGGATTGCAGCTCGATCTGATTGATCTGCAAGCCGGCTCTCAAAAAGGAGGAGAAGGTGGTGGTTGTGTTGTTGGAGGACCAGGAGGAGAGAAGGAGGAAAAGGAGGAGGAGGATGGTGATGATGAAGAGGAGGAGGAAGAGAAGGAGGAAGAGCAGGAGGAGCAGGAGAAGGAGCAGGAGGAGAAGGAGGAGAAGAAGCAGGTAGCTACCTCGTCGTCTTTCAGGAGGACCACCTGCCTCAGCTCCTTCACGAGATCGCTTGAGTGCTTCAGCTGCGCCTGCACCTCCTCGCTGCCGCCGGAGGTTCAGCGAGTCAGGCAGGACATAAAGACTTCACAGCTGACCTCTTGGTGCGCTCAACAGAGAGCTCGCGGGACAGCCTCTCGATCTCTTCAGCTCTCCTCCTCTCCTCTGACTTGAGCCAGTCGATCTCCGCCTCCTTCTGCCTCCCCTCCTCCTTGAGGATTTCCTGCCCTTTCAAAAGCTTCTTGGACAGTCAGAAGGAAAAGGAGGGGGACGGGGAAGGTGGGAGCAGCAGTTGGACGCAAAGTTGATGATGATGTTGATGATGAGGAGGAGAAGAACGAGGGGGGCGGGGGGGACAGAAGAGGTTGGAGGAGGAGCAAGACAAGAGCAAGAGGAGGAGGACGCAGATTTACCTTCTCAATCGCCTGCTCGTTGTCGGAGATGATTCTCTCCAACCTCTGACCCTCCGCCTCGTTCTTCTCCCCCGCTTCCTTGAGCTTCTCAATCTCATCCTTCCTTCCTGTCAACCACCCGCCCCGACAGTCAACTGTCTACCTGCAGCTTCAGCCTCGCCTTCCTCTCCTGGACTAGGTCACTCTGCGAGATTGCCACTCTCCTCTGCCATGCCGTCAGTCACGACGCTGCCGTCCTCTCATACTTCACCTGCAGCTCCCCCATCTCCTTTTCTCCGCTCACTTCCACATTTTTCATCGCCTCCACGGCCTGCGACAGCCTCCTGCACTCCGCCTGCAGGCCTTCGATCTTCCGCTGATCTTCCTCCTTCCCCCTCGCGCTCTCCTCGCACTTTGCGCTCAGGACTAAGACAGGCACGTCAGGCTCTGGCCCTTCACCCTGGCCCTTCCTACCCTTCACTTGCTTCTCTAGCTCCTCCTTCTCCGACATGGCGTCCCTTAACGCTCCCAGCAGCCTCGAGTTCTGCATCCTCACACTGCTTACTGTCTCCCTCCTCGCATCCTCCGCCTCTACGATCCTCCTCGACATCTCGGCTCCCTCCTCCCTGAACGTATCCAGCGAGGCGACAAGGTCCCGCAGGAATGACTGGCAGCTCGCCAAGTCTCTCTGTAGCCTCGCGCTCCTGTCCCGCTCTGCCACCAGCTCCTCCTCAGCCGCCGGGACGATCTCGAACGGGCCCTGCAAGTTGCTCGACGAGCTCGTGCTGCTCCGACCTCGCTGAAACATCTCCTCCCTCCCCACCTTCTTCCGCTCCACTAGACTCGAAGCCCCGCTGCCTCCGTCCTGCGAGGCATCGCCGGAGTCTTCCAGGATGACAACACGGGGAGAATGAGCATCGAGGAGGGAAGGCGAGCAAGTCACCTCTTAGAATGTCCTCCAGACCGATCCAGTTCTTCTTGATGAATTCAGGATCTCGTGTGTTACTGGGAGACGTCTAGCAGACAAGATGAGAACTGATGCACAACAAGTCTTGCAGCAACCAGCGCGTAAACCTTGTTGTGATCGCTCGTGGCGGCGGGCAGGGCGGCTGTCGCACTATCGACAACAAAATCACCAACTGTCAACATCGCACGATGAGTTGGGGAGTGAGGGGCGAACGCGACAGACTCCAGGTATGTTCCGAGCATGAACATCGTCATCCTGCTCAATCCTCACCTTCCAACGTTCTCTCGCTCGTACTCCAGCAGCAAGGCGTGAGCTTCTTTCAACGACTGATCGAAGCAACATGACTCGACCCTCCACCTTTCCCGGCGCCTCCCACCAACCTGCTCATGATGCCTCTGCATCTCAGCAATCTGGCACAGATATGAAGTCACGACAACAGCGCTCCAACGAATCTCGCGCCATCTCTCCATCCTCACCTTCTTCTTCAGCTTGTAGACTTCAACCGGCTCGTTCTCCCTGCCATTGTCGTGAGAAGCGCAACCAACATCAACAAGGGCTGCCATAGTCTCGGCGATGACTTCCTTTCGACCTTCTGCGACCATTGCTCATAAACTGGAGCTCATCATTAACTTCGCAAGTACCCGATGAGCCTCTTTGTTCTTCTTTGGACTTGACTGTGAGCTTTGTTGTGCCGCCTTCGCCTTCTTCTCCAGCAGCCTTGCGAGGAGAAAGCGATCATGGCGGCAAACGGCTTCTCCACGCCCTACCTTTTGATAGAGTCCATCAGGCCCTGGTCTTGCGAGAGGACAGGAGATCTTTCGTCCTCGGACTGGAGGTAAAGATCGAGGTCTCAGAACAAGCACCGACGCATCTGTCCTCTCAGTGTCGAACTCACGTCAGACAGGCTGCGGCGAGCTCTTGAGGCGGGTTGATGTTGGCTGCAGGCATGTCCCATCACAGCCAGTCTCGGAGGAAAATAGTGCCCTACCTGTCTTTCCCTGGTCGAGCATCAGCATACGCTGCTGTCCTCCTTGATACAGGACGTCTCAGGATAGGGCTCTCCAGGACCTCCCTGCTGGCGCGAGAGAATTCGTGATCCGAGTCAGTGTCAAATCATTGAAGTGAACAAGTTCAAAGGTCATGGTTGCCATTTCGACAGCACATTCCTTATCTGTCCAACTTTTGAACCACCTCGCTGTACATCAGCTGGTAATCTGTGCTGTGTTTGATCATGATCCCCTCAATGCTCGCATGAACATTCTCGTCCTGTGCTTCTGCAGCCTTCCTCCCGGCCTTCTATCTGATTTCTCCAAGTCCTCCCCTCCTCCCTCCCTTCCTCTATCAACAGCCTTCTCTTCAGTCGTCAGCCTTCAAGGCTCATCCTCACCTGGCCGCTGCGAGCGACTCTGATCGCGGCATGATTCGGTCCTTTCACTCTCCCGCCATGCCGTCAGGCACGTCAAGCGTTTTGAACCGTAAATTTTCATATCAATTCCGAACTGTGACTGCCCCCGGCCGGGCCGGGCAGACTGCCGCCCCGGCCCCCGGCTCAGCCTCCTACCGTAGTACGGTCTTTCCTACGGTCCGACTGACGGTCCGATCAGTCACCAGGGCCGGCACGGCCGGCCCGGGCGGGGCCCGGCTGAGTCATGATCGGACCGTGCCGTGGCCGGGCGGGGCGGCGGCGGAGTGACTCGGCCCCTGCCCGTCTCTACTCAAAGTTAAGTCCGTCAGAAGAAGACCGTCAGAAGGGTAGCCTGCCCTGCCGCGGCGCGCGGCCGCGCCCGGCGCGGCCGCGCCAGCCAGCGCCGGGCCGGCAGCACTTCTGCCAGTAATCATCGACACAACGTTTAATGTAACGGTTCATCAATATCCGTTATATTCCCGTTATGACTGTATGCGTGCAGCAATCCTCGCTCCTCCTTCCTCTCCTTCTTCCCGTCCTCCCCCCCCTCAGTCTCCACAACCTCCTCCCTCCCATCCTCTCCCCAGCTGCTACCCCAGCAGCTTCAACTCTAGCTGCTCTGACCCCTTCTCCTCTTCCCTTCTCCTCCACATCTCAACCGCTTTACTCTCGACATAGCCGTCGGCTATCGTTGGGAGTCGTGACCTTTTCCCACAACTAAACCCTTCCTCCTTCCCTCTACATCCTCGTATCCTTCTTCTGTATCATCGATTCCGCTGGCATATCGCCTAGTTGGTCGCATCAGTCTTGTCCTCCCTCTCGTGACCCTTCCATAGTTGCCCACTCCCTCATTCTAGCCCAGTGCCGCAACTTCTTTTCAGCATGGATACACGTAAACTTCTACGTCCTGTAGCCTCTAAAGTAGCGGCTAGATGCCACTCGACCCTGCAGGCTTGCCGTGCAGCGTCTGTGAAGTCCAGGAACCCATCGCATCTGAGAGGATCCAGAGCTTTCCATGCGTCTGGCGCAAGGCTGCAGATGGCGGGAGGGAGGTCAGACAAACCTTGGAACATAGGAGCAGTGGTGGTACCCCACCAGATGGCATACGTAAGTAGCTCTCTCTTCTCCTGCTCCTGCTCCTGCTTCTGCTCCTTCTCCTGCTCTTCCTCCTGCTCCTGCTCCTACTCTTCCTCCTCCTGCTCCTGCTCCTGCTGCTCCTGCTGCTCCTCTTCCGGCTCCTCCTCGGCTGCATCATGTCCGCGCAAGTACCACGTGGGTCGCAGAGCACTGACGAAGGTCTGATCTCGCAGGTTGTAGAGAGGTTCGGGAAGTTTCACACTGTGCTCGCGCCCGGGCTCAACCTCATCATCCCCTTCGTTGATCAGATCGCCTACGTACACTCCCTCAAGGAGGAGGCCCTTACCATCCCCAACCAGACAGCCATCACCTCCGACAACGTGACCCTCCAGATCGACGGGGTCCTCTACATCCGCATTGTGGATGCGTACAAGGCTTCCTACGGGGTGAGAGATGCTTGGTTCGCCATTTCCCAGCTGGCTCAGACGACCATGAGATCTGAGATCGGCAAGATTTCCCTCGACCAGACGTTCAAGGATCGGTGAGAACAAGTGGATTGTTCCCCTCTCCCCCCAGCCCCTACCCCTTCCCACTCTTCCGCGCACACACCCTCTTGCATCCCCCCCACCCTTCCTCCTCCCCTTCCTCCTCGGTTTCCTGTTTAGTGAGACTTCACCTGGTCAGCGAGACCCTCAACCTAAATGTTGTGCGCAACATCCAAGCTGCTTCAGAGTCATGGGGGGTGGAATGCATGAGGTAAGATACGAGCTCTGCTCCATCTCGCTGTTCCTGCCTTAACTGCTACCTGTCCTCCTCCTCCTCCTTCTCCTTCTCCTCCACCACCACCTTCACCACCATCTTCCTTCTAAATTCGCAGCTGCCACTTCCAGCTGTGTCTTATGTTGCCCTCAAAAGATTTCATGCTTCATGTACTGATCATAATTGTCAGGTATGAAATCCGCGACATCCAGGCTCCCAGGAAGATCAAGGAGGCCATGGACCAGCAGGTCTCTACCTCCACGAGAAGGAAACGTGCGCTGATGCTGTTCTTGGGCCGCAGGCTGAGGCAGAGAGGAGGAAACGTGCACACATCCTCGACTCCGAGGCAGAGCAGTTCTCAGAGATCAACATCGCGGAGGGAAGGAAGAGAGCACAGGTGCTGGCGTCGGAGGGAGAGTATCAGGAGAGAGTGAATCAAGCTAGAGGAGAGGCTGAGGCCATCCTAGTCGGTGAGGACTGATTGCTCTTTGAGCATGCTCTCTCATGCTCGCTCCCTTTGCGTTCGCTCTCCTCCTCCTCCCCGCCGTGCGTTGACTCGGAGCAGTTGCGGACGCGACAGCAAAGAGTATCGAGAGACTCGCTGGTGCCATCCAAGTGGCTGGAGGAAAAGACGCTGTGAGTAGAGGGTGGGAGGCAGTCCAGGGAGGAGGGGGAGCGGACGGAGGGAGGGGAAGAGAAAGGGACATACCTCTGTTTCTCGTTAGTGGGATGGGGTTGCGTGAGAATCTTGGTTGACCCTCTTCGCACACCTCTCTTCCTCCTCTCTTCCCTTCTCGTCTCAATCCTGCATGATCGCAGGTAGCTCTCAAGATCGCCGAGAAGTATCTGGAGGGCTTCAGCAAGGTGGCAAAGGAGAGCACTACAGTGCTCCTTCCTGCCAACCCTGCGGACCCTTCCTCCATGGTGACGTCAGCGATGCTGCTTCTTGGAGAGGTGACCCACGTTGGCAGATCGGCGCCGCCATGGGAGTGTACGAGAGCATGCAGAGGTCGAGGAAGACGCTTGCGGAGGGGTCGGGGTCTCTCATCACTCCAGAGAAGTGAGTGAGAGGAGGAGGGGAGAGCCGGCGCGTGACGTGCGGAGCAGGTTGAACGCCCTGAAAGAGCAGATCCTGCAGGATACGGAGGAGAAGAAGTAGAGGAGAGGAGCATGTTGCAGGATCCTCTCAAAAGAAGGGGAAGCAGCAGGTGTGTCCCTGCGTTGAATGCTCCTGGCACGGGAAAGTGAAAGTGAAGTCTCAAACCTATTCTTAACAAGCCCCAAATTCCTTCCGCCATAACAAATTCTTGCAATTCCCTTATTTTTGACAATCGTCTTCTTCTCCACCACCACCCACAACTACAACACAAGCATCCATCTTCTCTCATCCATCCTCTCTCCTTTCTCTCCTTTCGCTTCTACACCTCAGAACTTGAGCACACGCTCCGACGTTGCGAAAGTAGCATAGAACACAGCACCGAAGGTGTACACCATGAAGGCGATCCAGAAGACAGTCTGATAGGCCTGCTGGCAGCTGCTCACATGCTCGATCGAGCATCCGTGCGCGTCCATGATGACGCCGGTCAAGACAGGCGACACCATCCCAGGCACCGTCGCCAAAGTGTTGCCGAGCGATATCAGAATGCCCGAGAGTCCAGCAGAGATCTCCAGGTAGTTGGCGCTGTAACCCGCGTTGCTCAGCCCCGAGAAGCCCAGGGCACAGGTCATGAAGAAGATGGCGACGGGCCAGGAGGAGGCATAGCCGCAGAGGACGAGGCAGCAGGCCGGGACCATGAGGGAAGTCACCATCCATGTCTTCCTGACCCTCGTCCTGGAGAGGAGGCCCCGGGAGATGGTCCAGTCGGCCAGCATCCCTCCTAGGATGGAGACGATGAACATGAAGAGGTAGGGCATGGAAGACAAGAAGCCGGACTGCTGCATGTTGAACCCGAGCACCAGCGCCATATAGGAGGGGAGCTGGGTCAGGAGCGTGTAGAAGGCCCAGTTGAAGCACGTGTGAACAACGAACAGTGCCCACGCCGGCATGCAGACCAGGATCTTCTTCCAAGGAACAGTGGCAGGAACGTCTTCTGCTACCTGTGTCGTCGCCAGGATCTTGTTGAGCTCGGCCGCATGCATGCTCCTGTGCTGCGAGGGAGTGGAGGTTGTGAACAGGTGAAACAGCAGGCACCACAGGAAGCCCAGGCAAGCAAAGAAGTAAAAGATGGTGCGCCATCCGTACGTGTCCATGATCCATGCAGATAGCGGGAAGGTCACGACGTTGCCCGTGTACGCACCCGCGTAAACGAAGCCGACCATGGTCGAGCGCTCCTGGGCAGGGGCCCAGTGACCAATGATGGTGAGGATGGCAGGAAACGAAACGCCTTCCACCGCGCCCATGAGAGTTCTGCAGATCACCAGCATGGTGAAGTTCTTGGACGCAGGAGGGGTGAGAAAGGTGAAAAGAGAGGCTAGCAGGACCCCTCCAAACAGGACAGACTTACCCCCGTACCTGCGGGCGAGTATCCCTCCGATGATCTGGGTTGTGATGTAGCCATTGAAGAACGAGCCCAAGATGATGCCCTGCTCCGTGTTGGTCCACGAGTACTCCGTATACATGCTCACGCCCGTGACCTCTGTGGGAACCGAGGAGTTGGAGGGAAGGGCGTGGGCGCTTGGCGCTGCCGCTGCCACGCTGATGCAAACGCGAAGAGCATAAACCACGAAGAGACCCAGGTGCAAGAGGAGAGAGAGGATGAATCTCTTCGGGATGTATCCCCTGGGGGTATCGTGCAAGAGCTTCTTCTCCTCCCACGGATCGTCAACTCTCCCCCCATCCTCTTCCTCCTCCTCCCCACCCCCGTCCTCGTTTGCCTCCCCCCCTTCTCCTCTCCCTGTGAACCCTGCATCATTTCTCAAGGGAGTTGGTCGTACATGAGCCGTGGAGAGCGAGAAGGAGGAGGGAGCAGGGGCTGCCGAGGGCCCCGCGCCCCCTGCCGAAGAAGACGCCGCCATCCCAGCTGGCCGCTGGCGATGAGCCTCGTCGACGGTCGGTCCAGTCCGAGTGACGGTCGCCGCGCCGCCGCCCGGGCCAGGTGGCCCGAACTTCGGAAGTGCCGGCCGCATTGTCACTCACCGTGCCCGGGGCCGCCGAGCCTCGGAGGCGGCAGTCTCACTGCACGGGTCAGTGTCACCCGGCTCGGACGACCGGGCCGGATGATCAGCCTGAGGACACGGGCCGCCGTGACGGTGGGCGCGGCGCCGGGCCAGGGGGTGACCCCGGTGACCGTCGACGGTTCGCCGCTGGGCCAGGACCGTCGGACCGTACCGTACTGTTGAACTTGCCAACGCCGGGTTGCCGCACTGAGTGCGGCACTGCCCGGCCGGGCCCCGGGCCCTGTGAATCCGCCCCGGGACCGAACTCGGACTCCGGCCCGGGAGTCCGATCAGTACGGACGGTCGGACCTTCAGCAACGGTCAGGGTTTGAGTCGTGAGTCCGGCGGGACCGTGCCAGTCCGATACGGTCGGACTGCGCCACACCGGGGACCCCGGCGGCGTCCGGTCCGACTCAGGAGTCACCCCGAGTCCGGTCGCCGCACTGACGTTACGGTTGGCAAGCCGCGGGGGCGGCGCCGGGGGCCGCACTCAGTCACGCCATGCACTCGGAGTTTCAATTTTGAGCACGGTACTACCGGCGGTACTAGCCTGACTTGGCTACTATGATTTGAATGATGATTCAACTTGATTCGTCCGAACTTGACCCAGTGAACTTCCGACGAAGGAGTCAGTCCGAGGCTCCGAGCACTGCGGCAGTGAGCCTCGGGCCGGCTGAAACGGTCAGTGTGGCCCGGTCACAGTGACGGTGCGGCGCGGCCCGGGCCGAGTCGGAGTACGGTTTCCGATTCACTGAGTCACAATGGCAGAGTCAGTCAAGCCCGGGATTCTTTACTCAAAGGGCTAGTAATAAGATGCCTGGCTGGGCACCGTCCGGGAGTCCCGGACCGTCCGGATCCTCGTAGCTGTTGACGAAGGGCCTGAACTGAAGTCATAAGTGACTCGCCGTGATCAGGATCTTTACTATCCCCTGGCCCTGTGGATTCAACCACCCTCTACTCATATACGAGTACCCCTAATTTTAAAGATATAATCGGAGGGGTATATTGGTACCCACCACCCTGGAAATCGTGCTGAAGAACCTTCTGACATGAGGTTGCAGAGCTACGATTCAGTTCCGAGGCGCGCCATGTTAAAAAAACTCGGTTTCGATTCAACGGATGAAGTAAAAGGTGTATTTTTAGATTTGTTTTCATTTTTAAAAATACCATTGGTTTTATATTTTTTAACCAATAAACAGTTATATACCTGCAACTAGGTGTACCTACCCCATATAAACCTACCCCACCCCTGGCAAACAAAATCGAGCATCACCAATCCAGTTCTTTTGTCAGGACAAAAGTACCCCCTCTCACAATTTTAGAACCCCTACCAATTCCATTCCGTTCTCTGCCATTGTAAACATGTACCCTACCCTGATAAAGCCTCCATGCCTGAAAGGACTTATCATTATCCACTACCCTACCCTTTCTCGAAGTTGTTTCCCGCCTCCGGAAATAAACTCAATTCATGGATATGGGTATGGTGGCCTATTTGAAGGTTCATCGGTAGGGTACTATGCAATGGAGTTTTCTCCAAACAGGGTAGGTGGGCCCCTACAAGGTTTTTCCTATACTGATGCTATATTATCGTCTTCAGCACGAATGGATGCTTGGTGGTAAGGGTAGAAAGAGAGACAGGGTGGGTAGAAAGTAGTTTAGTTGGTGTTTAGATTGAAATTCGAACGGGCGGAACCGTTTTTTTCCTAAGTTTTAAAAACCCAAACATACAGAATAAAGTGTAAAACGCTGTAAATTTGGATGGGGGCGCCAAAAGCTTGTTTTTCAGCTCATTGCGTCCGCTAAGGGTCAGACCTGGTACAGATTGAAATCAGTTATAAACGAAGGGTCGTTCCTTCTAGATTGTACGTATAAGTAAAAAGAATATATAAACAAATTCTCTACTTTATTTTTGAAATTAAAAAGGTAAAACCTTACACGGTACCACTCACACCTCAAAATACAGTTTTAAATTTTAAATTGTCTTTTTAAGATCCCCCGTAAACAGGCTACCTGTGGGTCGTAGCGACTCTACATTGCAGAAATACTAGGGGGTGCTAGCATACATACATTGCAAGGTCATAGGAAAGTTCATAGAAGCTAGGGAGGCCCTTTCGTGGAGCTGTTTCAATGTTGGGGTCAATACGCTCAAGTATTTCGTGCCAAGGGCTCACAAAGGTGTGTAATCACTAATAAATATTCGTTCAGTTTTGAAATGTTGAAAAAACAAAATTATCAAAGTTCCATAATTTCAACACCCTCACCGGATATTTGGGGCCGGTTGACCGGAACCCTTTCCTCCCGCTCTACTCCCTCGATCTTAATTGCATCCTGCAGATCCGTTCCTCCCATCCTCCTTACCCATCCTCTCGCTCCCACACCTTCCCCGGCCCTCTGAGCAAGGCATTCACCTCTGCTCTCTCCCTCTTCCCAGTTCTTGCTCTTGCTCTCCCAGGCAAGCACAGGAAGTGCGGGCTTACAAGTCAACGGACTTATCTCGCTCGCAGTGCAACTAGGCAGTCTCGCACGAAAATCATCGTTGGTGGACTGGTTTGGCCGCTGCATCCACTTCGTCCCTTCAGTTGTTCCATCCTTCTGCTCCAGCTCTCGTTCTGGCCCCCTTATCAGAGCCATTGACATCATCTATTCTGTGAAATCGAAACCATGGGATCATTTATGTATCTAAGCTCGGTCCTCTTCGTCCTGAATGTTGCTACAAGCTTTCCTACCAGCACGAAACCAGCATTCGCACCCAATCTTTACTTCAAAAAGGCATGCCTCAAGCAATCTTCTGCTCGCCCGCTCCACGGAGCAAGGCTCGCAGACCGCCTGGTCATGAAGATGAATAGAGGGCATGCCAACGTCCTCAAGGACTTCCTGACGCAGAGGTCCCTCCAGACGTACTTGCACAACCTCAAGGAAGTTGGTGACCACCCAAACTTCAACTACATCGAAGACTTCATGGAGCATCAAGGTGTGTGTTTGCGTGTTTAAATGCTTTTAGTAGTCTGATCGCCTTATCAGGTGTTTGCAACCTGCATGGGTACGGAGCTCTCAAGGTCGGATGGCATGAGTACATCTCCAAGCTCTATCGTCAGGCAGACTCAGAGTACAAGATGAAGAGGATGCTATACAGAGGAGGAACGAGCGGCAACCCATACATCCAGGAGCAGTTCATGGAGATCTCGACGATGATCAGGCCAAGAAAGGCTGCGATTGCGATCATGGAGCTGCGCGAGCACATCGCGGGTGAATGGCAGAAGGACCTGCAGCTCGTTGCCCGGGAGAACGCCGAGCACTGGCGCCATCATCTTGCCAAGGTCCAGCACAACGGGACCGACCCCGAGCTCCACAAGCAGCACAGGCTCCTCATCACCACTGACGATGACTCTGCTCTGCGGATCGACAACTACGACCTCCTCATCAAGTTCTGCACGCACATCGCTTGTGAGCAGGTGATGGAGGAGCTGGCAGCGAACCCCAAGGACGAGCACTCGGCCATCTGGCTCAAGGAGTACATGCAGAACAGAGGGACCCGCTCGTTCGGGACCGTCCAGACTCGCCGAGTGGGATGGAACTTTCTTAACGACATCCTGAACGAGCCTCCTCGTGTGATCTCGGGAACGGGACGCGATGCTGACACGTTGTGTCTTATCGATCCGCTGGACATGGGAGCGAGGATCATGGCGCAGCGACAGAATGTGGCTGAGTGCTGGTTGGAAGTCCTGCATGAGGTCAAGGACGACAACCTCTCGATTCACAGGAAGTTCATGGAAGATTGCATGAACACGGTTTTGACGGACTTCTGGAAGAATAACTGAGCTCATTCTTCCGGAAGACGAAGTTCTGTTGTTTGCCGCTGGCGGCAATCACTGTGTTTGTATAGAAGTTGTACATTGAAGCATCTGTATGCTAGAACGCGTGCTTGGGCGAGCTCGTTGAAAATGTGCTCATTTTTCTTTGCTCCCCAAGGTTGAAAACATTAAACAGAGAAAATCTCGAAGTTTGTTAAGTCTTTCTTTTACGTGAGTTGATGCTTCTCAGTGCATTATCGCACAAGCACTTTCATCATCACTCGATCAAACATGCCCTTCATCCAACTTCATCCCATCGCTTCATCATCATCTTACCCTCCTCACTCCACTACCTCACCTCGCAGCCATCCCTCGGCTCGTTGTCAGGCTCGTACAGCCATCCTCCTTGCTGGATGACTTGCCGGGCTTCAGCGTCATTGACGAGGATGCGACTGGAAGTGTTGAGTGGAGGAAGAGGAACGACTTCAGCAGGTGCTTCCTTGAAGGTTGACGGCTCGACGGGGGGAACAGGCAGGGCTTGTTGAGCCGCTTTCATGCTGTTGCAGAAGGTCAGAGGATGTCGGGGGGGATGGGGGGGGGGGGGGGGTAAGCATGTCAAATTTAAGGGAGGCGATAAGGAGAGAAGGATGAGAGGAGCCGGCAGGAGCTGGGGGGCAGAGGGATTTTCACCGCGACGTCTTGGCGTCGTCCGTGGCACTGATGTTCGTCTCGAGCATCTCGATCCTCTGCCGCACACGTCATCCCCTTTCCTCTCCCTGTCCAGCGTCTCACATGCTCCTCCTCCTCCTGCGATCGAGACTTGATGCGAGGTTTCTCCTTGCTCGGCTCAAACATCTTGGCAAAGACCTTGGCGTCCTTCTTGTCTTGTATGCGCGCGAGCTGCTTCAACCTGCCCATCCTTTTGTCGCACGCCGTCGAGTTTACATCTCCTTGCAAGATCATCGCCTAACTTCAAGTGAGCAGGAGGGAGGTTGGTGGCAGATGGGGCAATGGAGGGAGGAACAGAAACGAGAGGAAGGGAGGGGAGAGAGAAGAGGAGGGCGAGAAGCACAGGACAGGAACGAATCTGAGGAGATAAGGAACGCGGCGAAGAAGATAGGATGGAGGGATATTACGACCATCTTCACATCCTGCATAGCGATATGATACTCTCTGAGTTGCTCGTGGGCCTCGGACCGCCGCAGGAAAGCTTTTGCTGCAACCACCCGTGACGAGGGGGAGGAGGAGGAGGGGAGGAGGTGACACACTGTTGTTGGGCTTCAAGGTGATGGCTCGGTCGATGGCGATCAGCGCTCGTTGAGCAGGATGCGCGTCCTTGCTTCCTCCTAGCGCGCTCACTTGCTCTGAGGACATGAGGGTTTTCGGCATGCGAAGGTGGCAGGAGGCAGCGTTTAAGAGGAGCGAGACCTCGATCTCGCGCACCTGCAGGAGATCAGCGGCGATGGCGGTCGTGAACTGAGGGAGGGAGCGAGGGAGCGAGGGAGTGGGGAGGAAGACGAAGGATGAGGGAGTAAGACGAAGGAGAACAACAGTGAGGGTTTTGGAGGATGGGAGAGAAGATAACAGAGTAGGGGAAGTACAAGCAAAGATACCTCATCTGCCAGCTCCGTTTTCGCGTACTGGTTGGAAGTAGCATTGCGAACATGCTCGTCATCCGCACTCGCGCCAATCTGACGGTCCAGGTAAAGAGGAGGAACAGGAGAGAAACAGAAAGATGCAGACAAGGAGGCGGCAGGGGCAGACGGGACGAAGGATAGCAGAGGATGACGAGAGGTCTAAGACGATGATGGGTAGGGGCAGGAGCAGGAGCAGGAATATACAGCAGGAGCACCATGGTCATAGCTCGGCCATAAAGGGTGAGGGCGCGGGCATAATTCTTCTGGCCGAAGTAGAAGTTTCCTTTCTCCTTCCTCTGCAACGCGATCTGAAGCCTGTGCTCCAAGCGCTCAGGGGAGGAGGAAGGTGAAGGACGCGTGCGTCCCGCTCCTACCTCTGCTCTGTGCTGACTTCATCTGCTGAGTCATCCCTGATGAGCTCAATGTGGTATAGGATCGCGGTACCCTCGTCCACCTGGGAGGAAGTCGATCAGAACTGCAGCGCACCTCCCAACGGCAGGGGGAGAGGACAGGCCAGACGGCCGACCTGCGTCTCCTTCCCCTCCTCCAGCGTGTGGTTGACGGCCACGAGCAAGGTCGCGTTCTGCCCGGGCCGCAGAAAGTGCAGTGCCAGCTCCAGCTCTTGCGGCTGCACCTCCTCGTTCCCCAGCACCGCGGTGACCTGCCTCCTCCTCGACCGCAGGAAGCCGTCCTGAACCTTGAGAGACGCCGCCGTCTTCGACATCAGCTGCAGCATCTCGGGCGACATGCTCATTAGAGTCTGGGGGACTTTGGCGCTGACTGTCTTCAGCCCCTCCCGCTCCTCGTCCAGCGACCGGAGGTAGCTCACCATGGCGTCCTTGCTGCTGCTGACGTTGCTCCACCATGAGACTCTCTTCTCCGAGAGCGCGACAGTGATGTTGTCGCTGTCCCCCACCGGCGGGCTGTAGTTGGTCGGCTGCCCATAGGACTTGAAAGCAATCCTCCCGTCACCCGACGTCCACACGGTGTTCCAGTCCAGGAGGGAGACTTCGAACTCCTCCTCCGTCTCGTTGTAGACGATACTCAGCGTCGAGTACCGCGTCAGCCTCTTGCGGATCGCTCTCTCCACATGGTCGGGGAAGGCGCCCTGCCCCAGGTACACCCAAACCGGCACCTCCTGCTCCCTCAACACCTCGCCATGGCTCCTCACTACGTAGGATACGAGGATCTCGTCCTCAGCGCCAGGGCGCATGAAGCCTTCTCCCTGCTTGAGGTAGGTGGCATTCAGCCCTGGCTCAATCTCATCACTCTCCAGCTGCTTGCCGACAGAATCGTAGGGCTGTATCGCCGTGCTCTCACTCCCTCCCCTCAAGCGCACAACCCTGCATGCCGGGCGGAGCAGACGATTGGCAACGGGAAAGCTGCTCTCCAAAGAATTGCAGAACGTCGCGATGACGACAAAGATCAGTGCACCCATGACTTCGCGCGATCCCATGCTTTCCTGCGTCCAACTTGTTCCGAACAATGCAGAGCGCAGACGGTGACGGGACAGGAAGATCAAATGAAGCACAGAAGGAGCGTAAGGGGATCCAGATGAAGTCTCTCACGCTGTCTCTCTCACTCCCCTCCTCTGCTACTCCTCCTCCTCCTCCTCCTCCCGTCCTGTTCTTCCTCCCTGCCTTGCCATGATCCCCGCCCTTGTACCACAACCACCCACCGTACTAATTCCCACAATGACTTTACCCCACCCCATATTTTACCAATAAAGTACCCCATTTTTTTCTTGGAGTAGAATACTATGCAGAACCCAACCCCCAACGCCATCTGCGAGAATATGGTACCCCTGTGGACTAATTCACACCGGTACCAAGAGCTCAATATTGATAGATAAAGATACGGTGGGGTATATGACCCTCACCCCTCCTTCTGATAGGACCGAACCTTGTCGGGGGTTCAATGATATGGCGGAGATCTTTTGTGCACGGAGGGAGAGGGCGAGGAGAGAGATGAGAGGAAGGAGAAGATGAAGAAGAAGAAGATGGAGCAGAAGAAGAAGAAGATGATGATGATGATGATGATGATGATGATGATGATGGAGATGATGATGATGATGATGATGATGATGATGATGATGATGATGATGAGGATGAGCATGAGCATGAGCATGCGCATGAGGATGAGGATGAGGATGAGGATGAGGATGAGGATTTCTCGAGCAGTGTCTTTGTCCCATTTATGACTTCTGAACATTGAACTTCGACAGATTCCTGATTCTCTTCTGTTCTGATTGTTTTGCCCCCGTTGCAGAAAACGAGAATCTCGCCATGGCCATAGTCGTCTTCGTAACATGTTCGCTCAGGGCATGATATGAAGACTTGGTAGTGTTGAACATCACCACCAACATGCCCGTCATCTTCGAAGCAGTCCGTCGCCGGCACACGGAAGGCTGGAGCGTGAGGTTGGAACCTTGATGAAAGTGTGAGGATGGCGATTGCTGCTCGACTTCCTCCTCTCCTCCTGCTCTCGGTGCTGCTCTTGCTACACTTCCATGTGTCACTTGCTCCGACGCCGAAGGAAGAGGACGAGGAGGACGAGAGGATCGTGCGGGGGATCTTGGTGTGCAACCTCGTACTGAGCGGGTTCTTCGCGCACCTGAGCTACGTGACCAACATGGTGCGCTATGCTCGGCACCTGGGGATGAAGCCTTTCTTCTTCCTCCATGGAGGGAACTTCTGGGAGGAGACATACGGCGACAACTGGATCGAGTACTTCTTCACTCAGCCCATGGTCAGCGAGAGGGAGAGGGAGGCGATTCGGAGGAAGGTTCTGGCGCCCTACCTCGACAAGTACGCGGACGCGGTGAGAGGAGAGGACTGGCTCTCCAAGGCTCCCACAGGGATGATGAGGATCTTGCCCGGGGGGAGGTGGAGCATGTGGAGGAGGAGCAGCGGAGGTACGAGGAGACCGTCGTTATCCCCCGCAAGCTTCGGAACCTGAGCAGCGATCATGACATCGTCACGTCCTTTCTCCAGCCAAAGCGCTGGGTGCTGGAGCAGGTGCAGTCGTACGTGGAGCGAGTGTTCGGGGGGAAGCATGTGCTGGGGGTCCACTACCGGGGGCTGGACAAGAGCGGAAGGAGCCGAGGAGAGGCCCCGCGGGTGCCGTGGGACGAAGTGCTGAGGGCGATAGAGCGCTACCGCAAGCACTTCCCTTCCTCCCTCGTCTACGTGGCGACTGATGAGAGACGATTCATCGAGTTCCTCTCTAAGCGCCTGCCCCCAGGTGCGATGGTCACGCAGGAGGGCTTCCTTCGGTCTGAGGACGCGGGGGGAGACGCAATGCCGCTGTGGGCGTGGGAGTTCGAGGGGTCGCCGATGAGGAAGGGGCAGGAGGCGCTGGTGGAGAGTCTGGTGCTGTCGAGGACAAGCTTCCTCCTCCGCACCTCCTCCCTCCTCTCGGCGTTCGCCAAGATCTTCAACCCCAAGCTTCCTGTGCTGCTGCTGAACCGCCAGGTCGACGACTTCGCTCCGGAGAACTACATGCAGGATGATGAGCTTCCGTTTCCTCCTGATGATGTTGAGAAGGGGAGGGGAGAGGGAGGGGAGGATCAGGAGGAGGGGGGGGCGGGGGAGAAGGCGGAAGGCAGGCAGAGGACGTTGGAGGAGGCGATGGATAGGCTAAAGTCAGTTGGGGAGGAGGAGTTTTCCTTGCAGGAGGTAGACGGCGGTAGGAGAGATCTCTATCTGAAGCAGAGCAACGCAAGTCAGAAGATAGTCAACATTGTCTGGCTGGGCAGGACCATCTCGTCTCCCTCCCGCTTCTACGTGCAGCAGACCGTCCTGCCGCAAGACAGAGCTTGGAGGACGAGCTGGGTGGAGGTAGAGAGAGGAAATTTTTCTTACGGCAGCTTCGCCTCCGGTGACGTCATCATGGTGATTTGCGGTGAGATGGGGGAGAGGAGGAAGAACAAGTCCAAGGCGAGCTTCTTGCAGCGCCTGCGCTCGTGGTCATTGGCTCGGGGGGAGGAGGACGCCTCCGCTGCCCTCCTCGTCCCCTGTGGCCCGGCGGACGGCAAGTACTTGGAGTCGTCCGAGTCGCTGGCGACTGAGCTCGTCGGGCTGGTGGACGCTGTTGCTCTGCTCTCGACCCAGCTGTCTTGTGCGGAGGAAGTTCGCGGGAACAGAAGCACTGCCGTCGTTAGGCTCCTGCTCGGATTCTCCGATATGACCCAGCTGGTCCAACTGCACTCCTTGCTCCCTGCGCCACAGCGGCAGGTGATAAGTTTACTTCTCCTCCTCCTCCTCCTCCTCCTCCTCCTCCTCCTCCTCCTCCTCCTGACTTTGAATATTGTGGCCCTCCCCTGCGTCTCTCAATGCTTTCTTTCTATCAGATGAGCTGCATGCTCCCGATCTCCAGCAGAACCTCGCCCACCAGCAGGTGACAGGAGCGACGAGGTTGTCTGATAACCTCTGACACTGCCCGCTCTCAACAGCGAGCAAGAGATTATCCGCAA